TTCTTTCTCTCTCTCTCTCTCTCTCTCTCTCTCTCTCTCTCTTTCTTTCTTTCTTTCTTCCTTTCCTTTCCTTTCCTTCCTTCCTTCTCTCTCCCCCACCTCTCTCCCTTCCTTTCATTCTTCTTTCCTTCCTTTCCTCTCTCCCTCCCTCCTTCCCTCCCTTCCTCTCTCCTTCATAATAATGCAGTGAGTAACATTTCAGAATAATGAGACAGAAATCAGAAGATTTTTATTTTAAAACACTTTAAAGAATTTTTTAAAGCCTCTTTATTTTCTATTCAAGAAAATTTCAAGTAATAACCAGAGAATAGTGACCATCACGTATTTACTGCTCCCTCAGTGCCCTCTCAGTGAATGCTTCCTTCCTGAACTCACTCAGAGCTCTGAACAGAGCAGGAGAGCCCCTCAGACCCCACCCCCCCATCCCAGAGAAGGCTGTCTGCCGCTGGCCAACGCTTCTCTCCTGAGGTCTTGGGCCACTCTCTTTATTATTGACGGTGGTAGCTGATAATAGCTTTTCCTTTCCCACTGGGGCATTAAAGGATAGGTTTAATTTATTCTCTATATTATAATATAGATATTATAAAGTAACAAGCAATCAACAGCCTCAACGAAGTATAAGGCTGAAGAATATCTCTTAAAAATAACACATAAATTTGCCTTGTGGCACTGGAATAGCTGTCTTGCTGTATGGGGTCTCCTAATAATTTTTTACCAAGCCCATTGATCACATGCATAAACCGAGAAGCCACCTTGGCTCACTTCCAGGATTCCCTGGGCGCAGTAGGTTTAACTGTGGGACAATGGAGAGACATGAAGCTATAATAATGGGGATGGAAAAAATAAGAGTTGTTTCTTGGCAACTACTTTTTACTTTCAACATCTTGAAGAGACAATGAATGAAGTCTCTCTATTGAACGCTGGATCTTTCTACATGGCACCTGGCATATGCTGTCAGGAGCTCAGAGTCATCAGATAGGTTGGGCACCGTGGGTGTGACCAAGGCAGAGCTACGTGGCATCTGGCTTGGACTCCATCCCTAAAAGAGTCTCAGAGTGAGTGATAAAGAGCAGTCTCAGAATCCCAAAGGCCCCTTGAAAGGGTAGCAACTGAGCTGAAAGGCCACTATGTAGAGTCAAGGCTGAGATTAATGCTTGCGGAGGGGCCTTCAAAAGCACCAATGCCAGTGCTGGACAATGAATGACACAGGACTTAGAGAGATGCTGCCAATCCAGCCTCTGAGCGTGGTAACCGGAGTGGATCCACACTCCTGAGCTTCTTCATAGCACGGAGGCAGGAACTTTTGGGGCCACCAGGACTGGGGTGGGGAGAACACAGCTATTTCCACTCTTTCAAAGAGCTGATGTGATATGTCAATTACATCTCAGTCAAAAATACGGGCAAAGGAACGGATAGACATTTCTCTAGAGAAGACGTACACACGGCCAACAGGTACATGGAAAGGTGCTCAGCATCACTAATCATCAGGGAAATGCAAATGCAAATGACAATGAGACATCACCTCACACCTGTTAGGATGCTTACATCAAGGGAGAGAGGAGGTAAGTGTTGGTGAGGCTGTGAGAAAAGGGAAGCCTCGTACGCTATTGGTGGGAATGTAAATTGGTGCAGTCGCTATAGAAAACAGTGTGGAGGTTCCCCCCAAAATTGAAAATAGGACTACCCTATAATCCAACAACCCTCTTCTGGGTGCATATCCATAGGGCAGAAAATCAGGATCTTGAAGAGATCTCTGCAACCCCATGTTCATTGAAGCTTTTACTCACTACAGCCAAGACATGGAAACTACCTAAATATCCATCACATAGAGCCATGAATTATTCTGTATGAGACCGTGAAGGAGCACACAGGTCACTACCCGTGTGTCCGTGCCCATTGGGTGCACCACAGAAGGCATCAATCCTAAAGTAAATTACGAACAATGTATTTAATTACTAATTTAATAAATAATATTAATACTGGCTCGTCGATTCTAACAAATATATTATTAATATGCCAGATATTAATAATAGGGAAAAGTGGGGCGAGAGAGTGAGGGTTGTCTATGAAAGTCTGTACTCTCTGCTCAAATTTCCTGTAAACCTAAAACTGCTCCAGAAGAAACTAAAGACTATTAACTTTTTTTTTTTTTTAAACGAAAGAAGTCGGGGAGAAAGCAGCGAAGACAATCTCCGAGGCCCATCTCCTTTACCTGGGTCTCGACAAATGAAAATAGTTTCACTTTTTTCCTCCGATTGGCTCCGATAGCACTTTATTTTCGTTTCTGTTGTTTTCATTCCTTCCCGTGCTTGGGAATTCTTCTAGTGTATAGATGGCTGTTTTCTCCCTTCTTATTGCAAGAAATCGTTCAAATCTGTGTTTGGTGCACAGGATACCAGCGTGACTCAGACAAAATTGCTGCTTTCCACACACCAATGCACGAGGAAGCCTGAAACTCCCCATGGGCCGTCAGTGACATCGAACCAGATTCTGAGTCACGGTGCATCAACGAGGGGTAGCAGGTCGCCTTCTATGGCGTCTCTCTGCTCACAGTGTCTCCCCCTTGTTAAAGTGCCGCTAAGTTAAAGGACAATAGGAAATCATTGTCTGGGCAGCGGTCCAGCGAGAGGTTTGTCTGTATATTTACCAATAAGTCTAGTTTCTTTCCTTTACTTCTTTTAGATCTTTTTTCTTTTCTCCCAGAAATTCTTAGGAGCAGAATGAAATGGCAGAAATGAAGACTTAACGAAGACCACTCTTGGGGAAAAAGTGAAAATCCCCTCCCCCAAACTTCTGCATTTGAGGACTCCCACTCCTTCCCCACATGCTGGCTCTTAAAGTGTCTGGGTTAATGGAATGACTATAAGCCTGGTATGACTGTCTCAGTCCCGGCTTGCTTCTCTTGTCCTTATGTCATAATCAGTAGCTTCCCATTTCATTCTCAAAAGTATCCTGGTTTGGATGATAAGTTATACAGTTTCCCTACCTTAATACTACTGGATATTATGCCATGGTCTGAGATCATTCTCTTTATTGGCCATTAGTTATCAAAGGCGTCAGAGAAAGGGCTGCTGATGGGAGGCCCTCGTCCTCCTGGCAGCAACAACCCCATGACACCAACCCCCCATGTTTGCTTTAGAGTCCCCATATTCCTTTGATTCTCTTCCCGAGAGTGTCATCCATCTTATCCTTATCCTTCTGAGATCTTTCTTAGGGAGAAGCTTCCTTTTTTCCTCTTTCTGTGGGTGGAGCTTGTTTCTTCTTTGTATCAATAGAGAGAGCAGAGCTCAATGAGGCACCCAGCTCAACATGACCAGACCGAAAAAGGCATGCGTACCTCCAGCCAAATATCAGATTTGCTATCTCAGAGTGAATGACTTTGAAAGATTCTTGTCATTTAGTTATTCATTGACACCCTAGTTCATTTCTTAAAGAAATATTTCTTGAGCACCTGCTAAGTTCCAAACACCACGTGAAGCCACAAATATATACAGTGAGTAACAAAGAGCCTCAGTCCTTGTCTTCATAAACTTATTGTTAGCCAAGAAGGCAGGCTTTAGAATAGTAATGACGATGGGTGATAGCTGCTGAGAGAAGGTTGTCATTGGCAAGGACAGGCCATGAGGATGGAGTGATGGATCGGGTCCTTTTAATGGTGAGCCCTGAAAGCCATTTCAGGAAGTGAGGGCTCTTTTCTGAGGAAAGTAACTTGATCAGATTTACATTCTAGAAAGAATACTTGGGCTTCTAAATGGCCATCCTCATGATTAGAAAGATTCATTATAAACTACATGAAATAAATTAGAGAGGGGTGTTTCCCATGTTGATAATCACGTCAGCAGGACTAGAACAGTTTAGAGGTGGGATTAAATGCCTGTTCGTGGTTTATTTTGGTTACACATAGATAGCTTCTTTGACAACTTAGGTGTGACCATGAAAGGCGCCATTAAGATGCTTAATTGGGTGATGGAATTGTCCAGTAATGTGGACATGAGTCAGAACCACTCGCAACAGCTCTGATATGTCCATGCCAAGAATTTCCAAGTCTGGTCCCCAAGTATTTTTGACCATTAATGTTGAAAAGACCTTTTGTTGAGTTGTAGTAAGGCTGTTGGCTGACATTTACCAGATTGGGATTTGGCAGAGTGTCCAGTTTCTATATGTAACCTACAGATTTATTTTTTTTTAAACACTGCTTCCTGTTCATTAAATCTTTCTGTGACCTTGTATAGTCTGTGTGTCCCAGACTACCTGGAACTAATAATCTCTCTCTGTCTTTGATCTCCCTGGT